TTAGTGATATTGCACAAGATACATACTGTAACTTTATTTTAATTATTATTATATGTTTAACAAGTTTGTAAATTATGTACTGTTAAGTAAAGTATATGGCCTAACTCAAAACACATCCACAAACGAATATATGTTAGTATTTGATGAATTTGGTTCTAAAAGAGAAGATCGGAATGGAAAATGTGCAAATTGTAAGCGAAATAACACATATTACGCTTGGTGCCAAACATGTGACCCTCAGAAGACAATACAAGGATGGACAAGTGGAAATAAGGATATCGATAATTGCATTAAAGAATTTCAACTTAAAGCCACATCTTATGAAAGAGTAATCGAATGGATTCCTTTTAATAGATTAAAGAATATTCAAATCATTGGCAATAAATTTTTAGCAACTTGGTTAGATGGAATACGTTATGCAAACGAAGTTACATATGGCAAATATACACAGTCACGTATACGATCATATAAAGTGGAGATTAAAATATTTAGAGCACAAAATTTGATAGAAGTAAGTTGAAGAAATAAAACTCAGGTAAAATTACTAGTAGAAATTGTCGGAGATATTCTATAACCTTGGAATGCAATTAGCTTACAATGAAAAAAAAAACGACTATGCTAAGTAAACTTATCTTAGGTTTTAGCAGATAGCGATTTATTTGTATTTGTTGTAAGTAGAAACTGTATTTGGAATTTCCTAGTTAAACTAGGGTTAGGGTAAGGGTGTTCATATGATAAAATCAACCCTAAAATGCTGGTTTTATATAAAAATTCCGAACTCACTTAAATCCCGTTTTCACTTACAATATATTTTTCTCATCGTAACTATATAATTTATTATTATCAAACTTACTGCATTCCATCATTGTATAAAAGTATTTGTCCGCCGATTTTTACTCAACTGTGATTTGTTACTTACTGTAACTTATTTTGGTTTATATTTATATAAGTTTGTAGATAATGTACTGTTAAAGAATAGTGATCTTAAAGTATATGGCTTAACTCAAAACACAATCACAAATGAATATATGATAGTGTTTGATGAATTTGGTTCTAGAAGATTTGATTTGTACGGAAAATGTGCAAATTGCAAACGATATAACACATCTAAAGCTTGGTGTCAATCATGTGACCCTCAGAAAACGGCGCAAGGATGGACAAGTGGAAATAAGGAAGTCGATGATTGTATTAAAGAATTTCAACTTAAAGCTACAAAATATGAAAACGTAATTGAATGGATTCCTTTTAACCGATTAGAAAATATTCAAACCATTGGTGATAAATTTTTAGCAACTTGGTTAGATGGAATACCATATATAAAAGATAAATATAGTTTTGAATGTACACAGTCACGTATACGATCATATAAAGTAGAGCTTAAAATATTTAGATCTCAAAATTTATTAGACATATTAAATGACGTAAGTTTATTATGTATAATTTATTTAATTAGTATATATTATGTATACTCAATTCTCAATTTATTTTTTTTGTATATTTTATAAGTTTAAAAACCATGTGCAATTAGAGTGTCTATCAGAAAGTCGATCAGAAAGTCAATCAGTGAGTGAACGTGTATATGGATTAACTCAAAACACTGTAACAAACGAATACTTGTTAGTATTTGATGAATTTGGTTCTAAAAGATCTGATAGGAAAGGAAAATGTGCAAATTGCAAGCGATATAACACATCGCGGGGTTGGTGTCAAACATGTGACCCTTGGAAGACAACACAAGGATGGACAAGTGGAAATAAGGACATCGATAATTGTATTAAAGAACTTCAACTTAAAGCCACATCTTATGAAGACATAATTGAATGGATTCCTTTTAATAGATTAGAAAATATTCAAATAATTGGAGATAAATTTTTAGCAACTTGGTTAGATGGAATTCGATATGAAAAGTCTAAATATAATCAATACGTGCAATCACGTATGAAATCATATAAAATGGAGCTTAGAATACTTAGAACACCAAATTTATTAGATAAGTTAAGAGAAGTAAGTTAAAATACTTGGGTGTTGCCAACGGAAAACTACACGATTTGGGCTTTTAGATCTAAAATGCCCAACTACTAATATGAGTACTACTATATGAGTACTATACTACTATATTAGTACTACTATATGAGTAACTGTACTTAATGATCAGGTTTTCGTTCTGCAATACTTATATTACAATCTGGTAAATAATAAATGGGTTTGGGTCAAATTCCCGACAGACAAGTCATAATCCCGACAAAAGAATCCCGACAGCTAAAAATCCCGACATCCAAAAATCCCTACCTTAACCCTTATCTAAAGGGACATAACCCTAAAATCAATTAAATTATAAGAGTCTACTTCGCTTTAAACATATCTCATACTTGGGATTTTCTACCTAAAAACTCTGGCTGTCGGGATTATGACCTGTCGGGATTTTGACCCCCACCCTAATAAATAAAAGCCCGATGTTTGATTTTTTGGCTACACCATTTAATCATTTCTCTTTGTTATACAATCTATATAACCTTATTTTAATATATACTTACACGTTTAATAAGTTTGTAGAATATGTACAGTTAAAGGACTGTGATCTTAAGATTTATGGCCTAACTCAAAACACCGAAACAAATGAATATATGTTAGTATTTGATGAGTTTGGTTCTAAAAGAAATAAAATGTATGGAAAATGTGCAAATTGCGACCGATTTAACACATCGCCAGCTTGGTGTCAATCATGTGATCCTCAGAAAATAATGCAAGAATGGACAAGTGGAAATAAGGACATCGATAATTGCATTAAAGAATTTCAACTTAAAGCTACATCTCATGATAGTGTAATCGAATGGATTCCTTTTAATAGATTAGTTAATGTTCAAATGATTGGTAAAGGGGGGTCTGGTTCTGTGTTTTCGGCAACGTGGTTAGATGGTAAAAGAATAGTTTCAAGTACCAATCTTTTGGAGTACACACAATCACGTACACCATCATGTGTAGTTGCACTTAAATCTTTATCTGGCTCACAAAAGAATTTTTTAAGAGAAGTAGGTTAAAATTACGTATTTATTTATGATAGATAAATTATAAATAAATTACTTACCTGACAATATAACTTACATTATAAGTTACATCATAAGTTACATGGCTTCATGTTACAAATACATAATGTTAATGCAGATCAACTTTGAGATAAATTCGGCCGGCATTAGGAATATTAAATTTATAGAGAAATAATTTACGTAAATTACCCAACCCTGGCGGCTGTGATTTCATTAGTAAAATTTTGAGTAATTCCGGCCAAAATTTTTGATCGTCAATCAAAATCAGGGACAATTTTGTTGGGTTAATATATAACGATAATATAAACTTCTAGAAAGGAAGCACGTTCGTTATCGTTATATCTATGATGATCATATACATGCTGGCAAAACTATTGGGATTTGGGACGAATTTTACTATGTTTGGGATTTAGGACAATTTTATTATATTTAGGATTTGGGACAATTTTATTATATTTGGGATTTTGGGAATTTATAGTTTTGCCAACATGTATAGATGAGCATTTGTAAATATGAAATCTTTGATCATAAACTAAAATAATATATGAGATTAAATGGAATTGTTATATATGTGTCCTTTATTTGTTGCAAGTATAATAAGGTTGCCGTTAGAAATGCCAATTTAATGATAATTTCTAAAAGAGTACGTACGTACGTACTATTCATGTTTGCTGTTATTCCAGTTATTAGATATCTAATGATGAAATACAAATAAGGAATAGAAAAATCAAATCACAGTAACTTAGGGTATGATTATGTCAAACTGAGATGGTCGAAATGTTATGACTGTACAATCAGTTGGATTTCTCCAAATTTTATTTATTTATTTTTTTTTTGATAATCATAATCATGTATTTCCAATGAGCGGATTGCTAATTAAAGTTCTATATGAGTAACTTAAAATTTATCATAACGACACGGGCAAGAGCCAGACATCAGCTAAATCTTTAGGAGTAAGGTCCAGTTCAATTATCATGTAGATTAGATTGCGATATCCCTACGTTAATGTAATGATTGTTGGTGATGTGATACGGATCCCGATAATTAGTAATGCATGTTCTCAATTAGGTTTCAGCATCAATTGCATGCATTAAAGTCCTAATTTTAGCCTTTGTTTATATATTTTCCACATGAATTAGTATTAAATCGAATTGTTATTTCTGAATCTTATTTTTAATTTTTTACATTAACGAATTTTGGATATCTGGATAAACTATATCATCTTATAGTTACATAGTCTAGAGTTTGGAACCGGTTTTATTTTTCTTATTTTAAATCCGATTAAAACCGATTTCAAACACTACCGTTATACGTGCACTACCAGTCAGCGGACACAATTGATCAAATTAATTGACGTACTTAAATTTTATAAGTAAATTTATAACAAAAAACTTTTATTTATAACTTTCATCGGAGTTCCTGAAGATCCTTAATATAAAGTTTGAGTAACAGTTAATAATAAAATTTGAAAATAATCTTCGGATACTTATTCTTGAGTATCTAAAGATTCTTTGTACGAAATTTAACTAATAGTTAATAATAAAGTTAAAAATAATCTTGACCCTAAAGTTGAACGTTTATTTACAATGTTCCTTAGTCAAAAGACTGACACGCTGTCAATAATTATAAAAGACCGACTCATGGTCAAAAAAATCGTGACGAAACGTTTGCAATATTTTATAGTAGGTCAGTTTTTTGACTTAAGGAACTTAGTAAAGGAACGTTCAACTTTGGATCAAGTTTTTAACTTAACTTTTATATTAAACTTAGAAGAAAATTAAAAAATCAAAAAAATTTTTAAGACGTCTATTAATTTGATCAATAAGTATGCAATCTAACATATGTTTGTTTATCTGTTGCATGAATTGATTTCCTGATTCATATAATACTATGTCATCCTATCTGCGTACAGTTTTTAAAAGATTAAATGATTTAACACTGTTAAATACATGAATGATGGCTCAAAAAACATTATTTTTAATATTGCTAGCTACATTTTTGTCCATATTATCTATATCTTTTTGGATTTTGTATGAAAGTAATATAGAGAGCGTTTCAGATTATGTTGAACAAACTTCGGATGACTTTGAGCAAACTTCAAATGAGTTTAAATCAACTTCGAATAAATTTGAACCAACCTCAAATGACATTGAAAGTTCAAATAAATCAACCCTTGCTCCTAATGTTCCAATATCAATCGTAGATGAGCATACGAATGAAGACTCGAAAATGGAGGTAGTCACCGCCGCATACTTAAATATTCATTATTACATTAAGTATTTAAAAATACTGCGTGAACAACATAATAAAATGCTTTACGATATTCTTCATGAAGCTGATTTAGCTGTTGCCAATACAAGCGTCTATTCTGTTACGTTAAAAACCCAACTTGCCCCATCTAAAGATCTACATGATTATATGTCTTTGGCTCGTTATTTTTGGCCAAACCCTGAAACCAAGGATGGGTTACCATATATTAGGCGAGATGGTTTTTCTAATCCTGAGATTTCGAGTGTGCCAGATTACATCTATTTAAGAAAATTAATGAAAGATATTCAATATTTGGGATTGGCTTATTTTTTTACAAGGAATGATACTTATGTTAAAAAGGCAATATATAGATTAAATGAGTGGTTCATAGATCCAAAGACAAAGATGAACCCAAATTTGAATTATGGAAGTCTTATTAAAGGTTTTGAATTTGGAAGAAGAACTGGTATTATAGATTTTCGACCCATTTATAAGTATGTCTATAATTTTCTTTATAAATTACTGAGATATAAACTTTTTAGTTAACCTTTATTTATTCTTAAATTAATTGTAATGAATAGAATTATACAATCTATTTCAATAATGAGTTCTTCTAAATCTTGGGATAATAAGATCGAATCAAGTTTCAAAAAATGGCTTACTGATTACTATGAATGGCTCACAACATCAAAACATGGTCGTGAAGAACACAATGCAAAAAATAATCATGGTACATTTTATGACGTTCAAGCGACTTATATTCTCCAATACCTCGACCGAATAGAAGAAGCAAAGGAATTTGGTTGGAAAGCATTAAAACACAGGGTTAATACAGGTATACTTGCGGATGGACAACAACGTCATGAAACTTCCCGTAGTACAAGTTGGTTTTATTCCGTATTTAATTTGCAAGGGTTGTTCTTGCTGGCTGAAAGAACTACGCTGTTGGGATTTGATGGATGGAACTATAGAGGAAACAATAATCAAAGTATAAAAACCGCTGTAGATTATTTGTTGCCGTTTGCATTAAATGGAGGTGAGGGATGGAAGTTTAAAAACATTGCTGGTTTCAAATTTAATGATTATATAAGGATTTTGGAATTAAGTTGGATTATTTGGGGTGATGATAAATATCTCGATGCAGTCGAGACTTTGAGACCAAAATCAAAATTAGAGCAAGCCTTAGGCAGTCATGAAGTATGGGAAGATAATTCCCTATGCATTTGGTCTTTGATTAATGAAAAAAGTTTGTGGTCTTGTTTTAATTGAATTTTTTTACATCAATAACATTTAGTCTAATTCAAGTTAGTATAAATATGCATATTAGAAAATTTATTATTATTTATAGTACGTATATTTTAATCGAGTGAGCGAAATAGACTATGCAACTTTACAATATCAAAAATGAAGATTTTTTTTCTAGGAAACTGTCTTTTATTAGATAACTTATAGTATGATGTTTAATTTTTGAGAGAATTAAAAATTTTGATCATATTCGTAAAAATAAATCAATAAAAAAGCTTCACTCTTTATACGTAATGTTCTTTATAAGTTTTACTACAGACCTTGGATTTTTAAAATTAGTGTATACCTGTCGCTTGCACTGTGGTTCCGGACAATCATCTCACCGAATCTTGTTTCACCAACAAAGTAATTCCGGTCATTATCGTTAAGAATTAGAATTAAGTTTTAAAAAAACTTGTCGGTGAACTAGGTTGTTGATGAAGTAATTGTCGGTGAAACGATACATCAAAAAATAAAAATAAAATACAATAATATAAAAAATGGCAGTCTAAACCTATCTTAAAACACTAACAAAAAATATCTGAAAGACAATTTTATTTATACCCTAATTTTAATTTGAATTAAAACTTCAAATCATATAAAAATAACAGAGACATAGCTCTAGCCATCCCCTTATAATAGCAATTGAGTTTTTAAGTTTAAATTAAGACTCAAAGAAACATAAAACAACTTAGTTGATGATATTTATGAAATCAAGACACAGTAACAATAGGTTTATATTACTAGCTTCATTAATATGTATATTATTTATTTTTATATTGGTATAAAACAAAATAGTTATACAGGAACGTAGTAATGTAAATTACGAAGTGTATGGTTTACAGAAACTGTTCTAGCGTTACCAATCTAAAAAATTTCGCTGCCAGATTAGTGTTAGATTTTGCAAATAATTTAAGTTAGAAAGGTTTTTTTTAATATCAATATTTAGCAAGGAAACCTTTTTTATTAATGCGCAGTAGGTAGGTTCATAGGTAAAATGTTGAGTTATGAACGATTTTTTGGTTTGATTTTTTGCATTTCTTTTTGAGTAACACTTGATCTTGAAATACCGTATTCTACCGTAAATAAGCACCACACCCTCTACCCCATTTTTTTAAATGCCAGATTAGCGGAAATAACTTGGCTAAAGATCTCATTTAGAGATGGGCAAAGTAAGTTACATATTCTTACCTAATATTACTTAATATTAATTAAGTTTTTTGGCATTAAGTAATAATAAGTAATTTTCGATTTTTTTTTTTTTTTTTTGTAGCAATTATTATTTTTATAATTAATTTTTAAACAACGCAAAGGCAAATTACAAAATATTAATTGATTATTAAGCAACATAAATGCAAATTACAATATATTATTTAAATTTTCAAACAATAACCAATTTTCTAATGATTTGTTTTGTTCACTAATAGCTTCGTTATATGTAATCTCACCAATAGCTTCATCATATGTAATTTGATCATTAGTACTAAACATATTTATATTTTCAATCGTTTTCATTATATCTTGATTTTCGGCTTGCTCCTCTACATGTTCAGAAGATTCACCTTCATTATTCTCAAAAATTCGTATTTCATTATCAATAGATAAGACATCAATAGAAATATTAGGTTGAATATTTGCTTCATTAGAATCAGTCATGATAGTATCTTGTTGAACGATATCTTGTTGAACGATTTGCTCAACATTTTTAATATTGTTATTCTTAGAAGTACAATCTTCTTTTTGAGTCATATTCCACTGAATGCAGGTTAATTTAAAGGCATTATCATTTGTTAATTTATTTCGTCGTGGTGTATATATATTTGAAATTACAGACCAGAATCGTTCACTATCAGCTGATGTTGGTGGAATGCTCATAATTCGAGAAGCAAAAAGTGCTAATTCAGGTACTTCGCTTTGAAAATTATTCCAAAAATACACTGGATCTTTAATTAGATAGTCATCCCAATTACCTTCAAAATCAAAAGGATAAGCCTTATTCTTCCAATCAATTAATTGCTTTCGAAATCTCATAATATCCTTATTAGGAAAAAGAGATTCGAATAACAAGCTTGCTTCTTTTTTAATAACAGTTGCAAGTTCTGGGCGAATAGCATTTGAAAGTACATATTGAGGATGGAGAGACCAGCAGACAAGAAAAAGTGGATGATACATTCTATCCCAACGATGCTGAATTCGTGTACTAACATATTGCTTAAAATTAACATTATCTATTGTATTAACCATTATTTACATTTTTGCCCAAAAATAAACTGTATCAGCATATGTAGCTTGGCGAGATTCCAAGATAATAGGAATAAGAGAATAAGTTTCTAATATACGAACAATAATTCTTAAATGGTGCCAAAATATATTATCCTTAAGAATGGATATGATAGTTTTGTCTAAACGTGATTCTATTTCATATGCCATGTCCTTTAAATATTGTTCCTTATTTTGCACTTGTTGTAAAGATACAAAAAAAGAATTCCATCATGTAAAAGTAGGAAGTGAAAACCGAAATGTACTATTATTTATATGGGCTCGAATATATTGGATAGCCTGTGTATTTTTTCACAAATAAGTAATAATTTTTGTAGCCAAATTTATAGTCAATTTCATATATTTATGCTTTAACATGTCAGCAACTAAAAGATTTGATTCATGTGCTGTACATGGTAATGCCAAGATATTTGAATATTTTTGAGTAAGCATAGCCTTCATACGAATATAATTTGCAGCTTCATCAGTAATAATCGCATTGATCTTTTCAGTACCAATTCGTATTAAAATATCTTCTAAATCTCTAAAAATAACTGTTGAAGTTTGACTTTCTCCAAAAGTATCTTTAATTTTAACAAGCTCAGTTCTTCGATTTTTGCCAATAGTCATAAAATTTATAATATGATCTTGACAGATGTTTGTCCATCCATCAGTTGCAATAGAAATCCACTCAGACTTACAAATAAACTTTTGAACTGAAGTTTGAACTTTTTTATAAACGTTATTAAGAACCTTGGTTGTAAGTTGTTTTCGTGCTGGGACATTATAATGCATATTAATTGAACAAACAAACTCTTTAAATTTTTTAGCATCCATAAAAGAAAGAGGCGCACCACCTTCTATAATACTCTCCAACAATAATTGATTAGATTCATAAACATCAATTGGCAATTGTGCAATATTATTATCTGATTGTGTAGAAACAATTGACCAATTCGAAGTTGACATGAGTAATGCAATTGATTCATCCAAGGAATTACCAGGTTGTTGATCCCGTATAATAGTTGAGTTTATCACATTTTTTTGTTGTTGAAATTGATAAGCATTAAGAAGATATGTTCGAACATCTAAAGAAATTTTTGAACATTTTTTAATATATGAACTTATTACTGCTGCAGTACCCGATATGGGTTTATCATGATTGCAGAAAATACATCTTGCTTTGGGTTTTTTATCTGTCGGGACTGGAGAAAAAGCCTGCCAAAGAGGACCAATTGGATGGCCAGTGCTTTTGGTTGGAAGCGTACAAAGCAAACATTGAACATCTGGATTTGGCAAAGGCCAATTTGACATTATTATAGGTAATAATTTTTGTTTTTTTTTGATTTATTAGATTGCCAAAAAGAATAAAAATATTTTTCATATTTAAATGAAAAAAAAAAAGCCAGTTTCGAAATTGTCTAATAAATACATCATAATTATATATCGTCGTAACTTAATATAAAGTTTATTTAATTAATTTTTACTATGTTATCTAACATTAACGTTAAGTCGTCGAAAATTAATTTCCGTTATCATGTGATCACTTACATATTAATTACTTAATTAATGTAATAATTACTTAACATTAAGTAATTGGTAAGTCATAAGTAATTATTATGTACAAAATTAATTTGCCTATCTCTAATCTCATTGCAATGTCCATTAATCTGATATTTAAAAAAATGGGGTAGAGGGTGTGGTGCTTATTTACAGTATGAAATTTTTAGATTGGTAACGTTAAGAAAGATAACTAGAGTGGCAAGTGTGCAAATTCTGGATTATTATTGGATGATGGTTAGACATATGAAGGGGAGACATTAGAAAAGGACAACTTTATCTAATAAATTTGTTTTAATTTTATTGATTTTCTCATATATATATATATATATATAATACATATATATACAACTCTCCCCGACAATCACTTGTACCAAATTTCACACCAACAAAAACGGAAAACTTATTGGAGAAAGTAGAAGAGGCTACTATACAAATAATGGTTTTTATAAA